CGGCCCCAAGAAACGTTCCACCCGCAAGACACTTTTCCGTGGACCACGAGAGCAGCGACAGAGCGCACCGATGCTGTCGCTTGTGGATGTGTTGAATCACACAATGACAATTGTGGGTGGACGGCTGCTGCGCTCCACCATTCTGCAGCCTCTGCGCGACCCCACAAGCATTGAGCTTCGCTATGTCTGCGTCGAATGGCTGCGGCAAGAAGAAGAGACACTCAAGGCGCTGCGGCGCTCACTGCAATTGCTTGGAAATAACGACATTGAACGCACCGTCTCTAATTTTTCTCATGAGCCAAAGGTACAGACATTGAAGACCATGCAGCAGCGAATTGAGGCCGTTGTGACGTTGTGGCAGCTTCTGGGCTCCGCCACACAACTTACGACCACGTTAAGTAATTGCTTGCGCGAGGACGAAGGCGCACTGAAGGATTGCGAGCACGGCGGCCCTCGTAGCCATGACTGCTGCCTCAGTAGCGACAGCGGCAAGTATGATGTAAATGAAGGCGATGCGTATTGTTCTTTTCGTGATTAAAAACCGTGTCCCAAGAGGCGGAGACTGGACGAGTCATGCCAAAGCCCTCAAGGCGTTTCTTCAGCACATTATCATGGCGTGGCCGCAGAAGCACCGGCAGTTGCTCTGAGGACCCGTCGCGGCACGACTACGCTCCTCTGCAAAATCCTTGAGACTCTGACAGAGTGTAGCATGGAGGAAATCTGCGCCGAGATTGCGCTACACCTGGACGAAGGCGTATTGCGCGCCACCAGCGGCGTGGGGCCACAAGTCGGTGACGGAGTGACGCGGCGAGCATGTCGACCCAGCGGTGCCATCTCTCAGGTACAGCACTGCTTTGCCGTCAAGCCCAACATCAGCGGTACTCTGGATATAGCCCGTCAGCAATACAGCCAAGCCATTGAGGCAATTTTTGCTCTCGCAGAGGAGCTAAAGCAAAGGTACAGTGTTTGGTCCCTGCATGTCGTCTATGATGGTGTGCGTGGCTACCGTTTTTCGTACGACGCTCGACATGAGCGTAATGCACCTGATGCTGTCTTTCTGCAGAAATACTCTGGCGGAAGTCACGACTCACTTTATCACAGCAGCCGCATGACGATGGTGGGGGAAGAGGAGAAACAAACGAATACCATGGAAAAGAGCGGTGGTGGTGGTGGTGGCTATGGTGTTGGCAGGGCACACGCCGTGGCCACCGGCAGCGCCTCTCCTCTGCGTGACGAATACTTTTCTACGCGTCAGGAGCGTTTTTGGCCAACTTATTCCCACGACGCTGCGGCCCTGACACCTGGGGAACAGAGTGGGTGCAACGGTGAGCACCAACTCACAAAACACCAGGTGCGCGGCAGGCGGGTAGCGTGCACGACCAATGAGTTGCTGGTCCTTTGCCGTAATGCGGAAGACGCGGTGGCAGAGATTTTTTACACCCAAGACGGTCACGTACGATTCCTGATTGAATATCTTCGGCAGCGCCTGGGGAAGCTGCAGGCGGTGTGTGACGCCGTTGCCTTGTTGGACATGCTGGCGGCCTTCGCCGTGTACTCTCGGCGCAACGGTTGTGTCCGACCGAAATTGTTGAAACCAGAGAGGCCTTTGGTGAGCGGCGGGGGCACTTACTTCTTGGAGGCCCGTCACATTGGCGGCCTGGCGACAGCAAACAGCATCCAATGGGGCGACGATGCCAGAGTCCTTCTTGTCACAGGGCCCAATGCTGCTGGGAAAACGACCATTCTGCGACAAGTTGGTCAGCTCTTTGCCCTCGCACAAATTGGGTGTCTTGTTCCAGCCAAGGCTGCTGCGGTGCGTCCTTGTGACAGAATTATTGCCCACATGCTTTGTGACGATCTTGAAGATACGACCACCTCTTCCTTCGGGAAGGAGATGCGGGAACTCTCGTACTTATGTCTGCACGCCACGCAAGAGAGTGTGGTACTGGTGGATGAACTTGGAAGACGCACATCTGCGCGTGAGGGAGCCGCGATTGCGTGGGCGACGGTGGAGTTTCTTGTAGAGACACGATGCCGCAGTGTCTTTGTGACGCACTTTGGGCCTTTGACGCGTCTTGAAAGCCGTTCCGCGGGTGCGGTGAAGAACTACCATCTTGCAGTGGGCACCGAGAGCGACGAGGAGGGTGGTGCGCTGGGGGATGCAACAAAAACTTCTGGTCGCCCGGCGTGTACTCCCCGCTTCGAGCACCGACTAATTCCCGGCCCCTCACTGGTTGATCACTATGGGCTGCGTCTCGCGGAACGTGTTGGCTTTTTTAAGCCAGCACTTGACCTCACCAAGGAGCTGCTGCCTCTGATGGAAGGGGTTAGGGGAGCACAGAAAGTCGGCAACACTGACCATGACGCCGCCGCTCCAGAAGCAGAAGAGGTTGGCCGTGAAGAGCGTGTGGAAGTGTTGTCTGATGGGCGCAACCGTGGTGAGCCGGGAGAGAGTGGTGATGCTCATGACAACGCCTCCCAACCAACCGAGGTGAGTGCGCGGCTTGCTGGTGCCACTGATCTTTCCAGCATTACTGCGGTGAGCGATGAGTCGGACATCACCGAAACCATGCGGAATTTTTATCTGAACCAATAAATTAACTATGTTTTTTCCTTTTCTTTTTTTATTTCTTTTTTGTTGTTGTTGCCCTTGGGGAAGGGGATTGAAGGGTTTGTTTGCGTGGTGAGGATGGGGCAAGGCGGGGGTGGGACCCTTTTTCTTGGTTATTGTTTTTTGTCTGCGAACCGATAGAGGAGCAGACGGTCTGGTCGTCTTTTTCAATGGGGGAGGAGTTATATGTATTTACATCGCCGCTTGTTTTTTTGTGGGGGGTGATTTGAGCAGGGCGCTGCAGCCGTCTTTTGTTTCTTTATTTCTCGCCCGTTTCTTTATTTTGTACTTTTGCTTTTGTTTGAGGGATTCATGCGGCGCCAGCGGTGGGTGCTGCAGCGCTACTGCTCTGGCTCTTTTACAGCGACGGCTGTTGGCCGCGCAACAATTCTGCAAGGGACATCCCTGTCGTCAATTACTTCTTTGGAGGCAGCCGCGGCGAAGCCGGCGACGAGGATCCGCGGACGTGTGGAGACGACACGCATTCGCGGAAAGATTGCGTTTATTCATCTTCGCCAGCCACCCTGTCACTCTATTCAGGTGGTAGCATCTGCCGCGGAAATCGTGCGGCGGGTGAAGGAGCTCACGCCAGAGTCCATCATTGACGCGACCGGCACTCTTGTGCCAGCGGAGCGGCCTGTGACTTCCGTCAGCTGCAAGAATTATGAACTCCACGCGGAGCGTGTCGATGTGGTTAGCAGGGCGGCCACGCCGCTCCCTTTTCCCATAAAAGATTGCAACACGAAGCTGGACACGCGCCTGAACCATCGTGTCATGGACATGCGCACACCACTGACAGCATCGGTGCTCCGCCTCGTGTCTGCCCATGTGCGTGCGCGTTTATGCCTGTGGAGTCGTACTGCGGGTCCCATGGACCACGGGAAAACAAATGAACATGCGGCTTCACATCGCACACACGGAATGAATGAACACGTGCATTTCTGTGATGGTGTTTTTCTCCCTCTGTTAGTTGTTTTTTTCTCTTGCACGCGTTTTCTCTCCATCACCCCCAATTAGACAGAGACCCCTGCGGGCATACGTAGAAGGACACATCCGCGTACATATCTATCTATCTCTATACATATACATCTACAGAGGCAATAAGGAGTCTGGGGAGGGGGGAAACCCATACGGCGTTCTCTCGTGTCACGTAACGAGCGAACCACCTGCTCACACTTTGACACCGGGGCGGGGTGGGGCGCCGCTCTCTCTCATGAATCTGCGCCCGCATAGACCCGGTGTCCGCAACTCCGCCCCCTTTATTTCCGCTGCAGGTGCGTCCCATAACCCTCATTCCCCTAATGGTCTGCAGAACGAGGCGTCATTTGCCTTTGCGGTGGGCGAGGACCCGCATCACATATCATCACCGTGGGCAGGTGTCACAACGGAGTTGGGGGGACGGCCCGTTTTCGCCGCGTGTCCGCCGTTCGACCGTATTTCTCAGCCTGTTACTCCCGTGGCGCCCTTGCAACGCGCCGGTGCCATAGGAACTTGTAAAATAATGTTCACGGGGTAAGCCGCCCAATTTAATATACGTCTTGGCAAAGCGAACTCCGTACGACCTTTTTCCCTTACTTTACGATTCTTTGATTGGCCGCGGTTCTGGGAATCAGGGGACCAATGACGTTTAGACGAATTTTATTTACATTTTTACCTTCTCACCCCTTTTTGATTCCCACCGCGCCGCGGGGTGTTGTGGTTGGAGAAGCCCAAATTCTTCCAATTCGTAGGTAATAAATGTATGTAAACATATATATGTACATATTTATACCCAATCCGAATGGCGTTCGCGCCCGGCAAACGCCGATTCTCGTTGCGCAAGAAGACCGTCCACCACCGCAATGTTTGATGCACGCACTGAGAAGTAGTTATTCGTTCCGTGCATCTGAAATTAAAGCTAAGCATTCCGATTCTGCACGTCCGCGACGGCGTGGGCGTAGTCCGAGTTTTATCTTTGCCTTTTCGCAATGAACATCCCTTGTAAATATTAAATTAGATAGCCAGCTTGTCATGCAAAAATTCTTTTCAAAAGCTCCTATAAAAAACCAACAGTAAAATACTAAAAAAAACAAAGATAGGTAAAACGCTAAAAATAAAAACGGTGCTATAAAAAAGAGGACAGGCAATGCGGCATGTATTCTCCGTGAGGAATCGCAAATCCACACTCCGTGGCTCAGAAGACTGCCACGACAGAAATACAATCCCAGAAAAAGCAGCAACACACACGACACGCACACACGCACGGTATTGTTACCGCTCAAATCACGCAGTATCAATTTCACTTCGTTGAGAGAGGCGAGGCGGTCGTCGGGACTCACGCCGCTCCAGACACTGCGAGGTGACTGCTTGTGGTGGGGATTCATGTCCAGTGGCATTGCGTTGTGCCCATTCATTTCTCTTCCGTAATATCCCCAGCAATGTGCTCTCTGACGCTGTCAACTACTCGAACCCTCTCAGATGGTGTCGGAGCCGCTTCTCTCGTCGGAACGGGGGCCCTGTCCTTGAGTGCAGTCATCGCAGTGAAGTTCAGTGGGCGGTTGTACAGAAAGACGTTCTTCACCGTCACCTTAGTTTTCTGGCCGGCATCCTCACTGCACGCCCCAAAGCAAACCCTCAGGACCTCAGGTGGCCTCTCGCCTGTCAACAGCACCTCTTCCTCCCCCAGCGACTCACCATCAATGTGCACAGAGGCCTTATTGCCTTGCAGCATGAGTGCCACTTGGTATCCCTTCTTCGGCTCCCAAGTGCTGCTCTGTGTTGTTGTCTTGCCTTCGAACGTCGTCTCCCACTTCTTCTTGTGGCTATACGACACTCCCATGGTATGATTGGACTCAGTGTGCGCCAGCACCGCAGTCAGTAGAGGAGTGTTCCCACTCGGAGTCTCTTCGATGGTCACCGACGCCACAAGTGTGAAGTTGTGGCTCAAGGATACATGACGCACATTATCACCCCGAGTGTTCACGGACCATGATACCCTGGAGCTAGGCTCCGTCAGCTGCAATCCATCCTTGACCTTCTTTGCATTAGGCGTCACCGTCGCATTCAGGCAAAGGTACTCGTCGATCCACGTGTCACCACCGGACAATGCGTTGGACAAAACTGCCACCAGACCCGCCGTGGGTATAGTCAAGTTGGAGAAGAAGGCGTCCTTTTGCGCCCAAGTACTGAGGAAAAACTTGATTGTACTCAGTTCCTCCGTCAGTCGAGAAAGCGACATGACACTGCTTTCATAATCGCCCCTCCGTTGTAAAAGAAGCAAATTGCCATCCGAGTACAGCAGGCTGCTGGCAAACAACCAATTCATGCCATCCTCCATGGCAACCGGCCCAACACAAAACGTGCGGATGTTGTCCGTGACCCAAAGATAGAGCGCTCTTTCCGCTTCACCCTCCGAGGCGTACCCTCGCTGAGTGTACAGCATGACCTTCCTTCCCTCAATGGTCGCGGTGATGAGGGCTTCCACATAAAAGCTCCGATCCAAAATGGCTGTTGATTTTGACTTGGTCCACACGGCTGAGAGTGTCCCGATGGCCTCCGTCCACGTTTCCCCCATGTCACGCGACCCGTACACCCTCTGGCCAACCTCGCAATCAACAATCATGAGAAGTGATCCCTCCCATTCGGTGACGCGGGAGTTAGAGCATTTCGCAGGGGACATGCCCTCAGAGAGCATCCATTTTTCGCCGTCGTCCGTCGAATAAATGATCATGGAGTAACCCTCATCTTTTCCATCAAACGCAATCACGGGAAACACGAGCGCGCCATTGTCCATCAGAACACCTGAGCCACCAGAAGGAAAAAAACTCTCAAATTTGCTTTCGTGAGAAGCAGCAGAAGTATTCACGCTTAACAGCGATTTGGGCGCACCCCATTTAATCCGTTTACTCGGCTCGCCGCCCGTAGAATTCGTGACAGTACCCACAACCAGTTTAGGGTCCAATCTGTCCCAATAAAAGTTCCCGTGTGAATAGGACCAAATAGAGCTTTCCGAAAGAAGAAACACTTTATTGCCCTTCGCGATTGTTGTCGGTTGGCGAAAAACAACCAAACTTTGTTCTTTTGCCTCCGTTGCAGTAAGCACGGTGTGTGCCCTCCATGTGCTTTTATTGATCTCAGCAACAAGAGTGGACCAATTCCACGCAGAGTCAATGTACCCCGCAACAACGTCAGAGTAAAAGTGCGTAATTGATTGAGCACCGTCTTTTTGGGCGTTCGTGTGACCTTCGGCGAAAGCAGCAATTACTCCACCGGCACTGACGAGAGAGGGTGTAACAAATGAATCCCTCGGCGTACCTGCAGCAGTCCACTCTTTCGGCTGCACCAGCGTCGTTTGCGGCACAAATAGATCGACTCCCTGCAGCTTATGAATATTTATTAAATCACTCTTCCCATTATTCCCTCCAGCGGCCGCAGCTCCACAGGTACCGCAGCACATCATCACGACGAGGAGCAGCAGCACGGCGGAAGCAAACACATGCCAGGACATGTTGGGCCTCTGCGGCTCACTCTCTCTTCCTTCCCTCCCCCTTCCGCTGGATCCGCTCACGCGGCGACGGCTGTGTTTGTTGGGTGCCTTGACTGCAGCAACACGTGACAGCATGTAAATATGTGTGTGTGGGCGGTGTGTGTGCTGTTGGTCCTTTCAGTGCCCTCGAATTTCACAGTAGCGATTCGCGCTTGGTATTAACTTCCTAGCGTGTCTGTGTTCAAGAAGTGAAGAAAAAAACTGCCAATAAAAAGGTGAAACAGCGAGCACCGCCACCCATCCACAGTGAGTGGCACCATCATTTCCGCCGCAGTCACTCCCAACAACAACAACTCACGAACACAGAAACACGAAACGAGACGGAAGAACAGTGCACCGGGAACACACAGCGACTGCCACCACCACCAGCAGCAGGAGTCACGGCGGGTGTTTCGATATTCACGCGTCAGCACACACCGAGCAACATGTCAAAAAGACAAAACGCAGGCTTCTTCGCCCCTCGCGAGGGCCTCCGCAGCCACAATCCTGTGCGTGCGTGCATTCTCAGCGTTTTAAACACGGCATGTGTGTGCATGTGCTTGTGTGTTTGGCAGCGCCTATAATTGCAGAGCAGCTGTGCGCCACAAGAGAGTCAGAAGAAAGCAACGGCAGAGAGAGGCAGATAGCACACACGCACAAATTACTCATATCATCACACACAAACGCACACACGCAGCCCGCGGAATGGGTGCTCTCAACCACAAAACAATGAAAAACAAAACAAAAAGCCGAAGCGTGGGACGACCAGCGCACACACTCTCATTGCTCCCGTAAAGCAAAACACACACACAGGGAGAGAGAGAGAGAGAGAGGTCGCCCACTCAATGCAATAAAAACAAAACAGAAACAGTTACGGTGCTCCGCCCATGCAGCCAGGCAGGACGGCAGCGGTGCGTGTCGTGCAAAAGAGAGCACCAACGGGCCTGCATGGGTGTGCATGCAATATATACAATGGGCACATTATGTGTGTGCTTCGTGGGATGAGGTGAGGGCGAGAGTCCATGCAAGGGGACACACACAGAGAGTGGGTGAAAGACGAGTGTGTGTGCGGCTGCGGTGCATGGCGCTCTCTCACTCACTCTCACGCGGCCACCACCGCAGCCGCAGCCGCACACACCACGAAACTGATGGAATCAGTGCGATTGCAGAACTCGCACACCGTCCTGCAAACCAGAAGTTTAAAAAGCAATAAGAAACAAGAATTCCAAAAAAAAAAAAAAAGGAAAAAAACTTAGGCTTCTTCGGGGCTCAAACCCGCGCCCCGGATGACATTGTGAGCTTGTTTGCCACTGAGCTAAAAAAAATGTGGTCGCGCGACCCATTTTCACGTAAGGTGTTAAGTTCGATCTTCGAACAATCGAGCACATTTGCGTTGTCCCCTGGAAAACGAAAGCGACATGTTTAGGGTGCGCCGCCGCAGCGTGGATACCTCGATTCGTCGTCATATATCTCTCGTACGGGGCCGCAGCCGCAGCGTGAATACTTCGATTCGTCGTCATATATCTCTCGTACGGGGCCGTCGCCGCAGCGTGGATACATCGATTCGTTGTCATGTATCTCTCGTTCGGGGCGGACCGCCGCAACTTGGATAATTCGACACGTCGTCATGTATCTCTCGTCCGGGGCAGCCGCTGCAACTTGGATAATTCGACACGTCGTCATGTATCTCTCGTCCGGGGCCACCGCCCTACTCTTTTTTATTCCCTGCGGCGGCCAACCCCGGCAGTAAGGACAAAAAATAGGATCGCGTTTTTTTTAATGCTTTTCCTGTTTGGGGGGGCGGATCTTTGTTTTCTATGATTCCCCCCCCCCCTTTTTTTTGTCTATTCCAGGTTGGTTTTAGGAGGCTTGATGTGCCTGCTGGGTGATCGCCGGCTTTTTTATTGGTGATTGCGTATTTTTGGCTTACCGGTGTGCCGCTCAGTGCCATTTTGTTTTACTTCTTTTCTGCTTATTGGGGCGTGTTGTTATTCGTCACGCGTCAGCACACACCGAGCAACATGTCAAAAAAACAAAACGCAGGCTTCTTCGCCCCTCGTGAGGGCCTCCGCAGCCACAATCCTGTGCGTGCGTGCATTCTCAGCGTTTTAAACACGGCATGTGTGTGCATGTGCTTGTGTGTTTGGCAGCGCCTATAATTGCAGAGCAGCTGTGCGCCACAAGAGAGTCAGAAGAAAGCAACGGCAGAGAGAGGCAGATAGCACACACGCAAATTACTCATATCATCACACACAAACACACACACGCAGCCCGCGGAATGGGTGCTCTCAACCACAAAACAATGAAAAACAAAACAAAAAGCCGAAGCGTGGGACGACCAGCGCACACACTCTCATTGCTCCCGTAAAGCAAAACACACACACAGGGAGAGAGAGAGAGAGGTCGCCCACTCAATGCAATAAAAACAAAACAGAAACAGTTACGGTGCTCCGCCCATGCAGCCAGGCAGGACGGCAGCGGTGCGTGTCGTGCAAAAGAGAGCACCAACGGGCCTGCATGGGTGTGCATGCAATATATACAATGGGCACATTATGTGCGTGCTTCGTGGGATGAGGTGAGGGCGAGAGTCCATGCAAGGGGACACACACAGAGAGTGGGTGAAAGACGAGTGTGTGTGCGGCTGCGGTGCATGGCGCTCTCTCACTCACTCTCACGCGGCCACCACCGCAGCCGCAGCCGCACACACCACGAAACTGATGGAATCAGTGCGATTGCAGAACTCGCACACCGTCCTGCAAACCAGAAGTTTAAAAAGCAATAAGAAACAAGAATTCCAAAAAAAAAAAAAAAGGAAAAAAACTTAGGCTTCTTCGGGGCTCAAACCCGCGCCCCGGATGACATTGTGAGCTTGTTTGCCACTGAGCTAAAAAAAATGTGGTCGCGCGACCCATTTTCACGTAAGGTGTTAATTTCGACCTTCGAACAATCGAGCACATTGCGT